TTTTATCCAGTTAGATAAAAGACATATTGAGTGGAATTTGAGTATTCGAACCCAGAAATGTTGTAGACGGGTACAAGGACTCCCCAGGGAAATTTCTGAAACGGGGGGATGATTATAAAGACAAATTCCTGTTTTCTGTGAATCCTTTTGCTTTCAAGATGGAAGATAAAGACGTATAAAAATTTTATTCCATCCATTTACGGCAACATATTAAATGTCTGTGAAGGATGGTACTTAGTCAGTTAATGTGTATTACACTTGGGACATAATATACTCCAGTAAGCTGGATTCAATTACGAAGACCCATGACCAAAAATAAGTGACTTGTTTTGGTTTTAATTTATACTTCATGCAATACGGCAGATTTATTTGTTGTAGTTTGGACACGTCATAGCTACTTGCTTTAGTTTTAACATTCACTTGTAATACCAGATTGATATCTTCTAATTATTCGCTCTAACAAGTATCAATACATAGGGGTCCCGTTGTCTCGGAAGTGTTGTTCAAAATCCTTCGTCCGTTGTCTGCCACAAACTTGTCCGTCGGTGCGTTAACACTACTTATCGCTGAACAGTGATTATTTGAAGCTTTTTGACGACGTGTTTTCTTGGATCACCTAAATAGATTCTCAAGCTGCGTGGATGGTCTTCCTGCGACAAACAATGCATAATGTAACTTTAATATTAACAGTACCAGGGCTAAGGGGACGGACCAGACCTGTGTGGCAATGCTTGAGGTGGTGTTATAAATATATGTTTATACACAAACTTACAATAGAAGGAATACAGATAATAATAATAATAATAATAATTTCATCCATAATACCACGTCTTATGCATTTTATACATAGGAATCATTTCCAAACATTATATACCAACTATCACTTCATTGTCTGATTAGTTTAGTCTCAGGACGACCAAGAGTCTCTTGGTCACTGTCCTGGAGAAGACATTCGCGTGCAAATAATGATGCCCCTAACAGCCCGCAGCAGCTTGAAGTTGTCTCCCGTCTTGCTTTTAACGTGTTTGCTGACAAAGGAGATGGTGGAAGGTGACAGTCCTTATACATAAAGAACATTGTGATGGGAAGAACTTGTCCATGTGTGGTCTTCATTGTGTGATGGATGTTGTAGTTCTCAGCCGTACAAGGTCCACCTCCAATACGTCATAGCCCTTCTGTATACAATGGTCATGAACATCTTCTCCATCCTGGTCCATTTTTCTTGTTATTTACTGACTGAAGCTCCACCCCTCTGTAATGTTCCTCCCTTAATTCAATTTCGGTTTTGTTAGTGCATGAAGAGTTTCTTTTGTTTTCATGGTTTGCAGTGATGTGTGCCGTGTCTCCCCTGCTAGCACATCTCTCATCTCGGCTACAGAGTGATAACACTGGCCATTAGTAGAATTTTAACACAGAAAGTTCTTATTAATTTTGCCAGAAAATATCTCATCGGTTATCAACTTTACCGAGTGACTGTAAGCATCAATGCGCATTTTTTTTACACAAGTCAAATTTCCTTATAAAATGTTAAGTTAATTTTTGTGTTAAGGAAGTGTCAGAGGTAAGATATAGAGCCTGTTGAGTGTGGTCACAGCCCTCCACCTCCCGCTGTGACTTGTGGAGTGCTTCGTAACCCCACTACCACCACCTCCACCTCCGCTCTCCTCTTCATCGCCTCCTCCTCCTCCTCCTCTCTACACTTTGCTCTACTTCTCTTTATGCAACACCACTCATTCCGTCATACTCCAGGAAGCTGCTGAATGTAGGACATGGTTAGTTTAATTAATTAACTACTTTCCTCTCAGGTATCACACCATAACGTTTTTATATAATGTAAAAGTTATCTAAACACGTAAAGTATTAAATATAACTTACGGAATATGTTAAAAATTTTACACTCAACGAAAAACAACATATTGTAAACAGATCTTCCACCCAATTAGTCATAAAACAAACAAATTCTTACAGTACAACAACTTTAAGTTGTACTCAAAGGAGGTCTCGACCAACGCTAGGTAATGCCCTTCTTTAACCTGGGTCATCGTTATCTTTGACCCAAAATTTTTAACAGATGTCGGGGGTTGTCAAGCGTCATTATAAAAGGCGAATATGGGCAGTGTAGCTCCTCTGAGCCTGAAATATCTTGCGGGCGAGTACAGTAAACCCCCTAAACAACACTGATCACCCTACTTAAGCGAAATATTGGCAACATTAATTTTTTCCTCAGATATAGGAACCTGGGTCCTAGTTTAACAGGGGAATGAGATAGGTGGATTATATATTAATCTGAGAACTCCCAAAGTATTTCCCCATTAATTTTCAACCACAAACGTCTTAGAATTAAATGCGAAGTAAAAATAGATTGGTACAGTGTGTCTCTTTGGTGATAATGAGAGTTAAAACATCTCTGACAAGTCCGGTGTTATGCGTCATCTGCTCTTGCTGTAAAAATATCTGATCCCCCCCGAGATTATCCGAAAACAAGGCAGAGAATTCGTTAAGCTAGATATTAGTTATACCTGACAGTGTACGGTAAAAGACTCCCAGAAGTGTAGGTCAGGGCAGGAGGCTCCAAGATAGTGTACCTTCTTCATTAACTGGAGGTATGGTGATGTATTTAACAGACTCATGCGCTTCACCAACGGCACAAGTGACTCAAAATGGCTCTAAGCTGGACAGAGATTATTCAAAGCTAATGTTATTTTCTTAATATACGAAAATAAAGGATATTATCATCGAAATGTTTGTTAATCTATAAGAAAATGGCATGTGAGAGATTAATAACATATAAGGGAAAATTATTTGATTCCTTTAGTGTTCTGTAAAATAACCAAAGCATGATGAGAAGACGTCTGAGCCGAACATTCAAAAAGTCATAGACGTAACGATAATTCTTTTTTTTTATTGAAATGATTTTACCGCCATCTTTGTCGGTCATTTGTGATGAAATATTAACCTTTTCTTTTCAAATCCACAAATCATAACACCGTAACTCATATAAATTTTCAGAATGTTGAAAAAAATTGAAATATATAGATTGGAAATATGGCAAGAGAGAGACCATAAATAATATCGTAGTTTTTTATGAATGAACTGATTAACAATTTGGCTGTGTGAGGAAAGGAGGATGTACTATAACGGGTTATTCTAGTGTGACCTTTCCCAGTCCCTTTGATCGTCAGATAACTTTGTAAACATGACTTATTAAGCTTATTGCTTTAGAACTTAAAACAAAAATCATATTAACATCTAGCCATTTTTACACATAATCGTACATAACATAAGTCCACGTATTATACACACACAGGTACATGAAGTTATATTCGTAAATATTGTAAATTTTCATTCCTGCCAAAAAACAAAAACAAAAACACAACAAACAATGACAAGGACTAAGACGAGATGGTAATACCCTTCCTCGCAGCCAAGGAAAAATATCCCCACATTTCAAGAAAGATTTTTGCTAAGTGAGGCTACGAGTCTACCTCAACCTGAGCAGGGATGAGAGGCAGGAGGCAACACTTACGACAACACAAACCAATTATCTTTATATTTATTCCTTTTGGACATCTTCCCTCCCCCTCTCTTTAGGACACCTCCCCTCCTCTCTCTTTAGGACATCCCCCCACCCCCCCTGCCACAACCCTTATCTCTCCGTCTCCGCACAAGTCTTAGAACTGCGTTGGTTACGACTGACGGAAGAGATTTGTGGATCCTCGTCTGTCTGGCTGCAAAAAGTTTAGGATTTCAAGTTTTCATTAAATGCAAATGGTATGTGTTGGCCGGTGACTTTTGTGAGATTACTGCATTATTATAAACTACACGTTAATGTTAAGACACACACACACACACACACACACACACACACACACACACACACACACACACACACACACACACACACCAAATACTCTCCTGTGCCCTCCTACCACACATATCTGCACAACCAACACCCACATACTTCTTTACACCACACACACACACACACACACACACACCCACATTTTCTCCTATACCCCCTCTCCTAACCCCCCTCTTCCCCACCTCCCCCCACAACCTCGTTTAAGATTTCTCAAATAATTTTACCACCTTGACTTGGGCTCAAAAGATCGACCCAACGAGAACATTAACCCAAGTTTAATTTTATGATCTGGTCGTTAGCATTCTATTTCCTAATTTGTTTTAACATAGAAGTTTAGACTTAATGGTGTTCTAGATATGGCCATGGCCTTGAGTGCTGTTTTAACATAGAAGTTTAGACTTAATGGTGTTCTAGATATGGCCATGGCCTTGAGTGCTGTTTTAACATAGAAGTTTAGACTTAATGGTGTTCTAGATATGGCCATGGCCTTGAGTGCTGTTTTAACATAGAAGTTTAGACTTAATGGTGTTCTAGATATGGCCATGGCCTTGAGTGCTGTTTTAACATAGAAGTTTAGACTTAATGGTGTTCTAGATATGGCCATGGCCTTGAGTGCTGTTTTAACATAGAAGTTTAGACTTAATGGTGTTCTAGATAAGGCCATGGCCTTGAGTGCTGTTTTAACATAGAAGTTTAGACTTAATGGTGTTCTAGATATGGCCATGGCCTTGAGTGCTGTTTCAACATAGAAGTTTAGACTTAATGGTGTTCTAGATAAGGCCATGGCCTTGAGTGCTGTTTCAACATAGAAGTTTAGACTTAATGGTGTTCTAGATAAGGCCATGGCCTTGAGTGCTGTTTCAACATAGAAGTTTAGACTTAATGGTGTTCTAGATAAGGCCATGGCCTTGAGTGCTGTTTCAACATAGAAGTTTAGACTTAATGGTGTTCTAGATAAGGCCATGGCCTTGAGTGCTGTTTCAACATAAGTTTAGACTGAGCCATGCCTTGAGTGCTGTTCAACATAGAAGTTTAGACTTAATGGTGTTCTAGATAGGCCATGGCCTTGAGTGCTGTTTCAACATAGAAGTTTAGACTTAATGGTGTTCTAGATATGGCCATGGCCTTGAGTGCTGTTTCAACATAGAAGTTTTAGACTTAATGGTGTTCTAGATAAGGCCATGGCCTTGAGTGCTGTTTCAACATAGAAGTTTAGACTTAATGGTGTTCTAGATAAGGCCATGGCCTTGAGTGCTGTTTCAACATAGAAGTTTAGACTTAATGGTGTTCTAGATATGGCCATGGCCTTGAGTGCTGTTTCAACATAGAAGTTTAGACTTAATGGTGTTCTAGATATGGCCATGGCCTTGAGTGCTGTTGATGTTACTGAATATATTAATAGAGATTTAGTATTTAAGGGGAAACAAAAGGATTGTGTTGTGAGGGATTGTGAGATATTGTGAGGGGTTGTGAGGGATTGTGAGGGGTTGTGAATGATTATGAGGGAGTATGAAGGATTGTGAGGGATTGTGAGGGATTGTGAAGGATTGTGAGGGATTGTGAGGGGTTGTGAGGGGTTGTGAGGATTGTGCAGGATTATGAAGGATTATGAAGGTTGTGAGGATTGTGAGGTTGTGAGGATTGTGGGATTGTATGATTATGAGGGTATGAAGTGTGAGAGTTATGAGGATTATGAAGGATTGTGAGAGTTATGAGAGTTGTGCGGGATTGTGAATGATTATGAGGGTTATGAAGAATTGTGAGGATTGTGCGGGAGTGAATGATTATGAGGATTATGAAGGTGTGAGGATTGTGAAGGATTGTGAGAGGATTGTGCGGGATTGTTGATTATGAGGGGATTATTGAGGGTTGAGGATTGAGGGATTGTGAGGGATTGTGAGAGGTTGTAAGGGATTGTGAGGGGTTGTGAGGGATTGTGAGGGGTTGTGAGAGGTTGTGAGGGGTTGTGAGTCAATGTTAGAATATGAGTGAAAGATAGAAGAGGAGGAATGATGGAATATATATATCGCGGAGGAGGAGGAATGAGAGAAGAGAAAGATAAAAGGAGAAGTGATAGAAGGGAGAAACAAAAGAAGAAATAACAAAAAAAGAATGATAGGATGAACTGAAGGAAACTATGGAAGAATAACAAAAAGGAAAAGATAAAAGGAATGACATAAAAATAAAGAATGAGAGAAGGGAGAGGTGGAAAGTTTAGAGGAAGAAGAAGAAGATTGCTGATATAAAAGTTGAATAAGAGAAAGTTGTCGATTGGCAGGAAACTAATGGTGGGGGGAAGTTGAAACAGGGAACAGGGACAATGTTTATCCAGATAATGTATATAATGAATGACGATAATAACAATGGCGAGGATGAAGGGAAATTGAAGAAGAAGATAAAGGTGAAATAAATTAGTGAAAAAAACGGATAAAGGTAAATAATTATAGATGAATAAGTATAAACACACTAGTCGAAATCAACAAATACTTAGTCATTTTTCCGCTAACTTAAGAAGATATAACCGCTGGACAAACTTAGCGACTTTCAGCTCTAGCTAACTACCTGTCATCAAACATATAAATGTTCTAAAGAAAATTCATTCCATACGATCGTTTAGCATATGACCTTAAATTAATAGACACTAATGGTCATATTGCTAACGTTAATTAAAGTATACAGGAGGAATACTGAAATGAGATAGAGAGAAAACTTCGTGTAGTAAATTCATTATGTAGAAATATATACATGTGTGTGTGTGTGTGTGTGTGTGTGTGTGTGTGTGTGTGTGTGTGTGTGTGTGTGTGTGTGTGTGTGTGTGTGTGTGTGTGTGTGTGCCAGGGCCATTTCAGGGAGCCTCTGAACCCACTACAGCATAGACTATACACTATTAATATTCGGATAATATTAAATTCAGATTAATTTTAGTATCTATCAACTCTATTTGTCTTTACACTGATATTACACACAAGTTTCTATTTTCTCAGTGAGGAAAGTCGGCAATGTGAAAAGTCTGACTAATTAAAAGGAAGCCAAACTTAGTACCACTTTTCCAGGAACTATTTGGTGACTCTCAGTTGAATTTTCTATCTCTTTCCAGATTCTGAGAGGAAAATTCTATTATATTTACCTCATAAACAAAGCTGCCAGAACATCTTTTTCACTGTCTAATGCAAGTGGACAATGACGTCGACATTACTATGAAGAGGCTACCATATGTTGTACAGGAGACACACTTTACTCTCTGATACAAAAATGAAAATAACACACATCTTCGGGACTCCAGACTTGCTGCCCTACTAGTGTACAGCGCCAGGCGGCATGATTGGGTGAGTGGAGGAGGGAGTGGCTAGTGAGTGGAGGAGGGAGTGGCTAGTGAGTGGAGGAAGGAGTGGCTAGTGAGGTGAGTGGAGTGGGGTGGAGGGGGGCTCACTCATCACCTTCACCATATTTCTCGAGTTAATTTCTTGTCTTACATTGTCTGTCTGTTTGTCTTCGTCATTATATCTCCCTCTTTATTCTTTTTTCTCTCTCCCCCTTCTTTCTCTCATGCCCTCAGTCTATTAGTCTTGTTTCTTTCTGTCTCTCTCATTCAGTCTCTCTCTCTCTCTCTTTCTCTATTTGTGGTCTGTGTTTTTACAATTCTCTTTTTTATTCTTGAGTCTATTTTGTTTCTTTTGTCTCTCTGTGTTCCCTCTTTCGTCCCCTTCCTCTCCTTGTTACTTTTTCTTTTCCCACCTACAAATGAACAGACAAACATGCAGACTTACAAGAACTCCCCCGCCCCCCCTCACACACACACTGCCTACATACATCAGGATCTACACACAGTTTTATCTTACAAATACAGCCACAGGGAATACAATATAATACAAATATAACACACATTAGGTTATTTTTGTATACAGTAACGTGGACAAAATATTACAAGAAGAAAAAATGTTAAGAAAAAATGTTGTGAGGAAAAAAATGTTGAGGAAAAAATGTTGTCAAGTTTGTTATCATAGTGAGAGTTGGGAGGAATATAATGAACAGTCACATGACATTATATTCCGATTATCATTATTGTCATTGTAATCATAGATAATTCAATGAATATATTTTTATTATGGAAAATTAACACTAGGACATCAAGACATCCGGTGTGTTAGATGGACTCAGTAATGATGAACTAAAGATAATGATTAATATAATACTTAATTATCTTTTACGTCACGGTGGGTAATTCTATCCTGTGATAAGTGAATAAAAGATAACTCAAAGATAACGTGATCAGTGGCCTTAGATGGGTCGGTGTGGAGGCGCTTGTATCTGTCAACACAACACCGGAATCAGTACTTGTAGTGACTGTCATCTCCCTGCAGTGAGTATACTTCTTTATTTACAACTACTTACTGCGAATACTACTTACTACTACTCACTCACTGCTACTACTATCTACTACTTACTACTACTACTATGTTCTGTCATCCCTATAAATATTAATAAAAAAATGTTCTCTCATATCCATTAATTAACCTGAGAAAGCTTAAACACACTTCCAATTGTACTAAAAAAAATCCCTCGATGAGCATAATACAGCAGCCTCTACTTATCACAACAAGGTTATTCACCCGCTCACTCTTAATTGGACGAGGGTAATTTTTTATCCTATCAGGGAATAAAAAATTATAGGTTGTGATATTTTTCTGGTGGATAAGCGATCTATTTACCAAGTCTTGAAGTATTGGTAAAAAAGAGCCCGAGAACTTTTAGAATGGAGGACTGTGGTCGCCAACCCTCAGATATATGGTCGGTACACTGATTGATAAGAGTATTATACTTTTAATTGGATTTTTTATTGTTTTTTTTAAATTATTATTATTATTATTATTATTATTATTATTATTATTATTATTATTATTATTATTATTATTATTATTATTATTATTATTATTATTATTATTATTATTATTATTATTATTATTATTAATATTACTATTATTATTATTATTATTCTATTTAACCCATAACAGGACAGGGATTGAATAATTGTCTAAGAAAATGATGGAAAAAGGAAAACAAAATACAAGATTCATAGCCTCACCTGTTAAAACAACCAGGTGAGGACAGTACATCCCAGTGCAGTTAATTTCACCATCAACAGGAGCCTCACTAGAGTAGAGAGCCTCAGCATTTCAGACCTGATGAGGCTTGAGAGTTATAGTATACCCAAGGGAGTACCTGTAGTAGCTTGTGCCTGAAAAAGTGCCACAAAATTTATATGGGACTGAGAATTAGTTTCTCTTTTGGCAAACAACTGTCTTCATTACTCTGGTCTTACAAGTTATTGATATGTTTTTGTATTGACCTTAGTGTATTATCTATGGTATTTTATCATTAATTATATTCCAAGGTTAGAAATTTATCTCATGTGAAATTTCTGTACAAATTTATGTTTTCGTAACGTATTTTTTTTTTAGCTTTTATTATTGTTATTATCTGTTATTTTATAGGTAATGGTGATGTGATGGGTCAAACTTAATGCAGGAATATCTTTACTAAGTGATGTCATGTAAGTCAGCCAGGAGAGAGAGTTATGTACTGTGTTATGAAGAACTGGATACATTTTTCTAAGCATAAACATTGCTTAATGTCCGGTAAAATATTTATGAATGTCGTAAATTTAGGAACATCACCTCCACCGACCCTTTCCAAAGCGTTCAAAAGATTGCCAGCTTGAGTTACTGAATCTATAAAGCTTTTGTGGATTATTTACGGCCAAGTGTTGATCACCACCGTCACTGATCTTATATTAAGCTGAGTAAGAGTGTGTTATATTATATTATTTTTAGGTAGTGTTTATTCTTTTATCAAGTACAACACAATATCCTCAGACCTATCAACAACCACCACGAGAAATGTGTCACATGTTCTTCTCTCATCCCTCAAAAGATTCACTCTCTTTAAAACCTTCCACGATTATATTTGCTTTCGTCAAACTTCGCCTCGTATATCTCCCAAGATTTTTCCCCAGACCGCCAACTTTAGTGCAGTTTACATCATAATAAACAATATTTTTTTTCTCCGATAGAATGATATGCAGTCCAGATATATTTCTCTTGTACTTTCAATTTCACGACAAATCTTACGATATATTAAGGAAACCCAAATTATCAACTTACGCCAAAGAGATTTTTAGAACACTTAAAATATGTTTCCTTATAAAGCACACAGTTTATACCTCCAAATTCTTCCTTCACTCACCTCGATGTAGTCACAGGTGGATCGATAAGAGGTGTTAACACGCACGTCTGATTTATATGCATGATCCTGAACTTTCCTTGGAGTCTTGTGTTCACTTACGAAACTCTACACACACACACACACACACACAAACACACACACAC